ACTGTCCTCGTCTTCATCTTCATCTATAGCCATCTCTTGAGGGGGCGACTTCAAAACTTTCTTCGTGTCTTCATTCTTCTGTTTAGTTTCCTTTATCTTGGATGATGGGGTTTCCGTCGATTCTTTTTTAATCTCCTTTGCTTTTAATGGCTCTGGAATTGGCTTCTCAATCATGTCGTCACTTTCCTCGTCACTAGTGTCCTTAACTTCATCTTCGTCCATATTCGCCTCTAGAGAGAGTGACTTCAACACATTCTTCATCGTTTCTTCATTCTTTGGGCATGGGGCACCATTTTCATAAAATTCCAATCTTCTTTCCACCTGTTCTTTTAAAGCTTCCCCATATTTGGAGGTTGGTTTATCTGGCATAACGATGATGACAATTAATTCTAATACTTTAATCGATAATTCTTAATGAAAAAAAAAGTTACCTGAAAAGCAATCGATTCTTGACGCAATCGTACATTTATTAGCAAGAAAGCGCGAAATTTTGCCTTTATGTTTCGTTCCAGCTCTGCCAATGAACGTAGAATGGTACAAAAGTCCGTACTTTGGCGTATTTCCTTTGGTTTTTAGAGCCCTTTTGAGTTGATTCGAGTAAAAATGTATCGTCATTTTTATTAATAAAAAAAATTTCATATGTTTATAATAAAGGCATACCTAAACAGAGCCTTTTCCGCGCCAAGAATCTGAACAGTGGACGCGGGATATTTCGATAAATTTGTCAAACTGCCCGCATGTGAAATCAATCTGGCACCAACAATTTCTCCAATAAGGGCAGAAAGATTCGGCGCAACTTTATTCATTTTTGATTGGACATATTCGTGCAAGCCTTTACGATAATTAGCAAGATTGATAACACGATCGGCAAAATGTCCAATGTTGATCATGTCAACGATTGAAATATCGGTTCCCATAGAAGAACGAGCCGCATCCAGTATGTGTTGAGCTTTTGTTGCATCGCCAGTTATCTCTTCAATAGATTCAAGATTTTTCTCGGTAAGATCGCTTTTATTCTTGATTAGCTTGGCGAGTTTTGCGTATTGGTAATTATCGTTGACTATTTTTACTAATTCGGGAAAATGCCAAGAGTACCATTCTCTACGTGATCATCGATAATATTTAATTTATTACATAGAAATAGATTAGCAGATTGGATCGGTGAAAATGAAAAATACCTGACGCGCATAGAAAATGTATTGATGTCCTTATCAAGTTGATCCAATAAAGATATTGCTTGAATAATCATATTATCAATACGATTAACATTAAATTTCACTTTCGCTCTTGAATAACTGTGCCCCAATCCAAGCTGAGCCTTTTCAAGATCACCCCCCTTCATATCCTTCAAAAGTTTATCGGCATGTAATCGAATGCCACGCACAAGCTCAAGAACTAATTCGCTAGTATCGCATTCACATCCAAGTTGTGTCACAATTGAACTTGCTAAATTTTTGTCGACAACTCCCAATACCACTTGCTTAGCCTTTTTCTTTTTTGATTTACTCTTGGGAAGATTCATTTCAAGGAATGCCTGAAGATGTGCATTTACAACACCTAAAAATTATTATACACGTGTGTGTAAATCGACTGTCAATAAAAGCTCAAGTATAAGTATAATAAATGATACACCACCTTCTGAAATATCATTTGCATTTTCTAAAGCATCCGCAGAATTTTTGAAAGGAACGAAAGACTTGAGTTTAACCATTTTTCCAAATTGCGCGAGGTCTTCAACTGCTCGTTGGACATTTTCAAGCTTTGCGCCAATTTCTTCTACTTGTAAGACCTCAAACAAAGCGTAACCTGAAGCTGTCTCAAATAGCACATAATTCACCTATAGAACATAATGATAAGTCAAAGACTCATTAAAGCGCGTTTTTCCAGTTTTTAAGCAAAGAGCTAGTTACCATTTCGCTTTGTATATAACTCAATTGATTCTTAGTGACGTTTTTTACATGCGTTATTTGAACAAGAAAACGAGAAGTGAATTTTTTGATTTTCACATCCAATAAGCAATAAATGGATCATCTGATTTATGGAAAATCTGATTTATGGAAAAATCACCATGATTTTTTATTGTACAACATCAAGAAAGACGTGTAATTGTTCTAGAAGTTTGGATATTCTATAGAAGTAATAATATCCTTTGATAATCGTCTTCGACACCTCGATAAGTTTCTTCTAATTTCTGTAATCTTTCTTCCTTACTCAATTGATTTAAAGTGTCTTCATTATGACGAAAAAGACGCTTTTTCACGTGCAATCGATAATTTTTGTATGAATTTTCATTCGTCTTGTTTAACTTCCGTAACAAATAAATTTCCAAACATCGTGCCATCTGTCTCTCGTTCAATTTGCATTTATGTCGTATTTTTTCCACCGTTTGCTTGTCGACCGGGAGTTGTATATTCTCTAATAATTTACTATCAATCAAATATCTTAGATCATTCTTGTCACGCAGATCTTGGAATGGTTCATTGGGATCTTCAACGGTGATTTCTTTTATCAAAGAATTAGCCAAGAAATTTTGGTAAAGTGATTGATACAATTTATTACCGTGGCCTTGTGACTGATATGGGGGAAGAATAAGAAATTGACTGATCCTCATTCGTATGTCGTGGGGTAATGTGGAATTTTGGGGCAAGGATCTCTCGACAGAAGTGAGCTTACCACGAGTACAATAAAAATACGCATACATTGTGCAATAACCTACGAAATTATATATTTGCGTACCACTCGTATTTTTCTTTTCAAATAATAGCGCGATTTCCCATTTTTCATCATCCTCATCAATATAGGAAGCGCCCTCAATGCAAAAAAGAGCAAAAATCTGCAATCGTCTATGGAATTCTTTAAATTTCGGAGTACTAAAATTCGTCTTGTAAATCTCATATTTCGTGTCGTCAACCTCATCATTTCTTCTAATGTGGTATTCACCAATTTTTTTACCCATAGGCCGAAAATTTAGTGAATCTGACTCCACAATATTGAGAAAGGTGTCATAATTGGTAATGAAATCATTTGGAATAAATTCCTTTATCTTGCCCATTACATCGTCTGGTTGAGCTGCAGGCGTGATTTCTGTTATTTTTTGGTCATAAGAGACGTTGAAATACGTCGAAAGACTTCCAGAAGCGTAATATAATTTGATTTTCAGATTTTTGAACCCATATATTTGTTCGTGTTCGCCAAATATTGGATAAGTGAAGCTTGGTGAAAATCGTTCTTTATAATTTGGCTGAAGCAACTGTATTTCTATTGCTTCGTTTGAATTGCAGAGCCAGTCTGTAGAAGCTATAGACGCGTTATTCATTATATTATAACAAGGGGAAAGAGCAGAAGTCGTGTCCAATTAAATTAATAAGGTGTGTGATCACTTGCATTTGATATTAATATTCAATGTCTAATTAATATACCGGTTTTACTCTGATGCTCCGGAACATACGCCGGCTCATTTTTTAGCATGTGATATGCAATTAGTGAAAAATCAAAAAAAAATATATAAAGCAACGTCGGGATGAATCAAGCTGCATTCCACGTTTCCTGCTCTTGAGCAAAAAAAAATGACTGCTCGTGAAGAATTTGAATGGGAATTTTAGTCGATACAGATGTCGAAGAGATTGCATCAGTCGTTCAGGACCGGCTGATTGCTGGAGCTATTCATAGAAAACTTTAAGCTCTAGGTGCTCAAACAGGAGAATGAAGACACGAAGAAAGTTTTGAAGTCGCCCCCTCAAGAGATGGCTATAGATGAAGATGAAGACGAGGACAGT